ACTATAATGTACCAGTTCGGTGTGCACTGCCTTAACTGCATTACCACTTAACTTTGCATGAGCACAGTTAAGCCTAGGGAGTTTGCAGAGCAATCTTTCCTTGTGTGTTTCAGATTTGCTTAAAATCCCAACAAAACTAGTATTATATTTGTTAATGATGATCTTAATGATTTCTGTATTGCTCTAGACATGAAATAACTGACACTTAGATAAAGGCTGCCAAAAACTCGTTTAATGTGCATGTGCATTTAATTATGGAGTATATATTGGTAATAAGGATTATCCATAATGCTCTCTTTTCATCAGTGCTTGGCACAAATAACACTACTGAAAGTTTCTGAAACTCCATAGTTACAAGGATTTGCATCCCTTGGCTGCTTTGATGTGTAAAGAGGGAAACTTAATTATAGTTTCTGGATAGCACATTTTCACACTGTCTCTGAAACCACCATCAAGAATAATAAAAGAATATGTTATTTAATCCCAGCTCCCAGTGTGACTGAGAGATACTCAGAGAGAGTGAGGATGTAGGTCAGTCAGTGGAGTGCTTACCTAGTATGTCAGAGCTCTGATACCCAGCATCCCAGAAACTGGGTCTAGAAGCACAGTCCTGGAATTCCAGCTCTCAGGGAAGAGGAGGCAAGAAGATAAAAGTTCAAGGGCATCTTCAGCTACGCCTTAAGTTCAAGGCCAGCCTGGGTTATATGAGATTCTATCTCAACAAACAAATCAGAACAAAAAAACCCAGATCATTTGAACATTTTAAAATTAGCAATTTTAAAAATTCTTATTTCTGATTCTTTCTTTCTTTCTTTCTTTCTTCCTTCTCTCTCTCTCTGTCTCTGTCTCTCTGTCTCTGTCTGTCTCTCTCTCTCTCTTTAACCCCCCTCCTCTTTTTAGATAAATTTATTTACATATTGTACATCCAGGACACATTTCCCCCTCTATTTTCTCCTTCCAATCCCTCTCCCTTACCTCCCCTCTGCACGCCTCCCCAGTCCACTCCTCCTCCTGTTCTGTTCATGAATATTAACAAAACATGGTTTATCAAGTTGGAGTAAGAATAAGCACCCCCTCCCCCGTATTAAGGCCAAGCCAGGCATCTCATGATGAGGAAAAGTGTCCCAAAAGCTGGTAAAGGAGTCAGAAACAGCTGTGACAATTTCCTTTTCTTAATGATAAAAATTTCAGTCGGGCACAGGTGATACACATTTTAAATTCCAGCACTAGGGAGGCAGAGGTAGGAGGATTGCTGAGTTCAAGGCCAGCCTGGTCTACGAGTGAGTTCTAATACAGTTAAGGCTACACAAAGAAATCCTGTCTTGAAAAGCAAAAGCAAATAAACAAAACAAACAAACAAAAAAGTAAGAAAACCAAAACCAAGACAACTCCCCAAACAAACAAACAAACCCTCAAAAAAAAAAACCCAAACAAACAAAAAATTAGGTTTTGCACAGTATTTCCTTAAACAACAGAATGGCATGTCTAAGCTATGTGTAGGCATCGTAATCAAGTAAGTATATGTGTGTGTGACAGACTTTTCCTGGTGAGATGAAACAAACACACATTTACTCACCCCAGAATAAAAAGACTAGAGTAATGAAGGCTCCAATGTCCAAACTGGTGAAGCAATGAGATTTGTTTGTTTTATTGAAGTTACTAAAAGAAGCATGTGAGAGGGAATTCAGGAATGACTCAAAAGCCGCTCAACCTCAACATGGGACACTCCCTAAACCTGCAACCCTGGAACAATCGACACAGCTTGCAGTCAGCTCCACAGTCCAAACATCTTCTTTCCACTCTGGCTGGTCAGAGTCTCCACCCCCAGCAACTTCATACTCCCTTTTGTTTCCAGGTTCTGGGTATTTTGAATAATGTGGTTATGAACATAGTTGAAAATGTGTCCTTGTGGTATGGTTGACCATCTTTTGGGTATATGCCCAAGACTGGTGTAGCTTTGTCTTAAGGTAGACTGACTCCCAATACTCTGAGAAACCTCCATATTGATTTCCAAGGTGGCTGTACAAGTTAGTCCTCCCACCATATCCTCTCCAGCATAAGTTGTCATCAGTGTTTGTTTTTCTTAGCCTTTCTGACAGGTGTAAGATGGAATCTCAGAGTAATTTTGATGATTAAGGATGTGGAACAATTCTTTAAGTGTATTTTGGCCATTTGAGATTCTTCTGTTGAGAATTAGCTTTACTTTCATAAAAGTTAAAATTGTAGACCAGTTGCTCAGGCTCATCACCTCCCTCTCGTGTGTGTGTGTGTGTGTGTGTGTGTGTGTGTGTGTGTGTGTGTGTGTAGACCTCCCAGATAGAGACACCCATCCTGGCTGTCTGAAGACTATGTACTATTATCCTGTGCACTTGCCTGAGGCAGTGACTCACACTCTCAATCCCCAAAGCCTGCTGACCTTGCATCCTGTTCACATCCTTTAGGTAACACTGTCCACTCCCACTGTAACCCTAGCTCCTGACAGCTAAGTAACACCCATAGAGACCTGTGAGTCTTCCTCGTGGGCTTCTGCAACAAGAACTAACCCTACAGAAGGTTGGCTCCTGCCTGGTATAATTGCAAATTGTCTCTGAGTAGTTGATAGGTTTTTTTTCTGAAGTAACTTCAGTGATGAGCAATAGTATGGAAGTGCCTTAGTTAGCATTTTTATTGCTATGAACAGACATTGTGATCATGGCAACTCTTATAAAGGAAAACATTTAATTGGGGTGGCTTGCATTTTCAGAGGTTTCGTTAATTATCATCATAGTGTGACATGGTGGCATACATGCAGACACGATGCTGGGGAAACAGCTGAGAGTACTACATCTTGATTTGTAGGCAACAGGAAGTGGTCTGAGACATTGAAAAGTATCTTGAGCATATATGAGACCCCAAAGCCCACCTTCACAGTGAGAAGACCACACCTCCTAATAGTGCTGCTCCCTTTGGGGCCCATTTTCTTTCAATCACCATAGGAAGTGGTAAGTCAAATAATCTCTTTTCTCCCCAGCAAGCTTTTTGTACATGGTGTTTCATTGAAGCAACAGAAACCCAAAGTTAGACATCACCCAAACTTACTACTCCCATAGGAATGTTCCCTAGAAAATAATCTTTTATGATGTTCAAGACAATGGTTTCAAAATAGCAGGTACAAATATGTTCAAGGACCTCAAAGACAATATGAATAAATGCCAGAATGAACACCACAACACACAATCAGATCAATTACATAAAGGAAACAATTTTAGTTATGAAAATAGAATTTAACAAAGAATTCCTGAGGAAAAGTTGAATTGAGTTTAACTCTAAGTGAGAAATTAAGTGAATTAAACAAAAGGCCAATGGAAAGCCATCAATAGAATGGATCAAATGGAAAAGAGAATACCAAGGCTGATGACAAGGTAGACAAAGAGGGTCACTCACTAAAAGAAAATGTTAAATATAAAAATACTTATGAATGGAGCATGCAGGAACTTTGGAACACTATAAAAGACAAAAATTCAGAAATAATAGGTATTGGAAAAGTAGAGTAAATGCAAATCAAAAGCACAGTGATGTGGGAGTTCCCTCTGTGTGCTGTGATTACCATTAATGAATGAAGAAACGTCTTTGAACCTATAGCAAGGCAGAACTTAGGCAGGGAAATCTAGGGTGGAGTCAGAGAGATGCCATGGAGCCCCTGGCGGAGATAGGCATGCTGAAACTTTGCTGGAAGGCCACAGCCTTGTGGTGATGCACAGATTAATGGAGATGGGTTAAATTAAGATGTAAGAGTTAACCAATAAGAAGTTAGAGCTAATAGGCCAAGCAGTAATTTAATTAATACAGTTTTTGTGTGATTATTTCGGGGCAAAGCAGCCAGGAACAAACAAGTGACCTCTTTCCAACAGCACAGAATATATTTTTGACAAAACAATAGAAAAAAAGTTCCTTAATCTAAAGATAGAGTTACCTATAGAGGTATAAAAGGCATACAGAACACCAAACAGACAGGACCAAAAGAAATAACCACATCAGGTAATAGGTAAAACACTAACGCTTAGTTTATAGAAAAAAAGAAAAGCTATTAACAGCTACAGGAAAGCAAAACCAAGTCACATATAGACAAGCCTGTGAGAATAACAGCTGATTTGTCAATGGAGATTTTCAGAGCCAGGAGGACTTGAAATAACGTTCTGTTCATACTGAAAGACCACAGATGCTAGCCTAGACTGCTGTAACAAAAAAAGCCTACCAGTCATAACAGAAGGAAAAAAGAAAAATTTTGCATGATAGAAGCATACTAAGGGAATTTAAGGCTACCAAACTGGAAGAAATCCTTTGGTCTGGAGAGAAGGCATAAGGAATTAACAGCTCCATAACTGTTCATAAAAAGAGGACTAAGAAAGCATCTCAAAACAACTGACAGGAAATAATATACATCTTTCATTAATAACTTTGAATATTAATGATATCAATTTTCCAAGAAAGAGAAGCACAGACTAACACTGGATTAGAAACAGGATCCGTCTTTTTGTTGTTTCATCATCGAAGATAGACACCACCTCAATGTAAAAAGATAGAAAGAGAAACCATGAACAAATGGAATTAAGAAGCAAGTAGGCATGGCTATTCTAACAGCTGAAGAAATAGACTCACACCAAAACTAGCCAGAAGGGTCACCTTTAAGTTGATAAAGTATTTTAAAGACACTCCTCTGTCTTTGGGTTTCCTTATGCCATCATCTGGTACAGGCTTCAAAATGAAGTACCTCACCACTGTCTCTTTAGTCTTCTTTAATTAAGTAGTTCTTATTTTTTAGTTCTACTGGCTAAAAATGTTGTGAAATAAAATGTAATTTAGACGGGCTGGAGAGATGACTCAGTGGATAGGAGCACTGGCTGCTCTTCCAGACGACCTTAGTTCAATTCATAGCACACACATGGCAGCTCACAACTGTCTATAACTCCAGTTCCAGGGGATCTGACACCCCCACACAGACAAATGTGCACACAAAAGAATAAATAAAAAATATACATATATATTTTTTAAAGTAACTTAGGTTGGTTCTGCTATGTTCTTACAATAGAATACAGTCTTTGCAGGCATGGCTGTTCCCTGTAGTGGCTTGTTGTCAGTCGTGATCAGCCTCCATGTGCTCTTTGGCATCTCCAGAGCTCCTGAGCACTGCCCCCTTCCAGCTGTTTGTAGGAAAGCTCCAGAGCCAGCACAAAGCTTCTATGTTCTGAGCACTGCAGAGAAAGGATTTGGTTATCACGGTTTCTTCTTTTATAGACTTATTCCAGGTTTCATGTGTCAGGGTAGTAACGTCACATGTCATAATGGCAATGGTGGCAAGTCCATATATGGGGAGAAACTTGATAACATTTCACCTTGGCGCGTGTAGTCCTTCTGTATATCGCCCACGGCAAACACTGGACCCAGCATGTTGCTTCTCCGTTTTTTCCCCTGTAGTGAGAGGTGGGACGGCAGGTTGTGTGGCTTCTGGGGTGGAAGAAGGCAGGAGCATCACGGAAGCCACCAGGTGCTTTAGGGCCAGGAACTACAAGACTGAGAAAATTAACATTGTAGACTGTTGACAGTGGCGAAGCATTGGACTGTGCATCCAACCGCAGCAGGGCTCCTTCCGTAGGGAGGAAGTGACATCATCACGTCTGCTCACAGATTTGTACTCTCTCTGCAGCTCCTTGGGCTCTGCGTTTTCCTGATCTCCTAAGTGTAGCTGGACGGCAGTCAGATTGAGGATTATTAGCAAAGACTAACTAAGGGGCCGAGGAGATGGCTCAGTGGAAGAGGACTTGCTGCGCAAACGTGACTGCAGTTTAGATCGCCGGAAGCGTTTACAATCCAGATACTGCAGTTGCCTTCCGTAGTCCCAGAGCAGCTGTGATGAGCTAGCAGGGAGACAGGAAAGGCTCCAGAAGCTTGCAGGTCAGCTAGACTGTGACTCAAGCCAGAGACCCTCCCTCCAGCAAGGCAGAAGGCAAAGACCATAGCTGGGTTTATCCTCTGACCTTCACACGCATGCTGTGGCGCTTACATATATGCTGTATACACATATTATACACACACAGGCTTTAAAAACTAAACAAGAAAAGCAAACACAAGTCATATTACATTTTTGAGGACGGGATCAGAATGTAAGAGCTTCTTCTTCTCATCGTGGCACCTCACACAGCTATCAGGAGCCACCTCCCACAGTTCTCTTATTACTGGTGTTCACTGACATGATTACGAGATTAATCTACTCTAGTTACTACTCCCCTCAAAGACATATAATGTGGGAATAAGCTTTGTGTTCATTTGTATGTTATTCTTCTCATCATAATTTCTCAGTAGAGCGTTGTCAAACTGTACAAACAAAATGGCTGTGGTGAGAAGGAATGGGAGACGGCAAAGAGTGCCAGCCGGCTCTCCATAGCCTAGGTCAGCGCAGAGCCTCGTGCTCGTGGCCGTGGTTCTTGGGCAGAGAGATAGTTTATGAAATGGGCTGTCACTGATGTATGGATGGGCAGAGGAAAACAGTGCTGTGCTGCAATAAGGCTAATCATCAGCCCTCTTCTCTAAATTGCATGTGTAGCTCTTAAAAGAAACACCGTGAAAAGAGTTTGTACATCATCATCAGCCCGAGGAGCCCACACCAAACCACGACATAGAGCTAGTTATTCTGTTTTCAGCCTGAATTTAGAAAATCCCCTTGTGACTACTAACTACAATTTTGTCTCTCTTCCTATTCCTTTCTCACCCACACCAAGGATAAAGATACTCTTAAGAAAAAAAAATGTTGAGTCAATTTACCAACAGTGAGTTACCAACTATCTTCCAACCCCCTTTTTTTTTTTGGCTTATTTGGGTTTTGGGGAGGGACAGGACTCTAGGTCAGTTTGATCTAAGAAGCCAAGTTTCACTGAGCATTCTCACCACTTGGGTTCTTGAGTGTTAAGCTCAGAGGTGTGGGAAAAGCTTTCTAATCTTTTGACTGCTAATCAAATTTCTAATCAATTGACTGCTGTGCCTGGGGCAAAGCTGCCTACCCAGTGTCTCAAGGACACAGTGGGTCGGGGGCATTGTTAAATTAATTCTATCTCTTTTGTAGCATAAGTAAAATTGGTTATATATTCACCAAAATTTACATCTACCTTCATGAGTTACAAGCATGCAATTCTTAAAGTCAACAGCTTAAGAAAGATTCGGATTAGAGAGGGTGTTGACATTGGTGACAAAAAGCATAGATGAAAACAGTAGTGGTACCATGAGAGAGGAAAGTCTGTAAAGGAAAGAGCAGAGGAAAACAATGTCCTGGCTCTCAGAAAGAAAGCCATTCTGTAACAGATCTGCTCTGGGGCTGGATTTCTCCCATCATTGTCCTGGACCTGAAAAATCCCATCGTCTGATTCTAGGGAGCTAAGATTACCCAAAGCCATCAGGATTGAATATAGCCGAGTAAGTCATTCCCTTTTGGCCGCTAAGCCCTTGCTTTAATAACGCCTGCCCTGCTCCGAATGCTGGGTCTCATTTGTAGGTAAAATAAAAAACAAACTTTGATGACCACTTCAGCAGCTGCAAAGAAAAGAATTATGATTTCCTTCCTTTCTTGGCTCTTTTGAGTTCTCAGGAGGTGTGGTGGGAAAATCAGCACCAGATGGCTCTCGAGGAGATGATGCTCAGTTTTAAATTTATGGCCCATTTCTGGAAGACAATCTGAAGGTGGCCCGAGTTTCAAATAACTTCCAGAACAGATGCACCGGGGAATGCCTCCCACTTTGCTTTACAGAGCGGGTCTCGTGGCTCACCTGTTTGCTGGTGCTGTTTGATTGTAGGATGGTGAGACCATGACTTTAACTGCCATGGTGACAACCCACCTTGGCTCCATGCCTGTGCGAACACTGCCATGCTAATTCAGAAATATTCTCTTCATATGCGTTAGTGGCAACAGAGAGCATCACCTATGTGTGGGCTTTGTGAAACTTAGTCTCTTTCTTTCTTTCTTTCTTTCTTTCTTTCTTTCTCTTTCTTGACAGGGTTTCACTGTAGTTTTAAAGTCTGTTCTGGTACTACCTCTTATAGACCAGTCTGGCCTCAAACTCACAGAGATCTGCCTGCCTCTGCCTCCTGAGTGCTGGGATTAAAGGCGTGCACCACCACCGCCTGGCAACTTAGTTTGTCTGTAGAACATAAGCAACAGTCAAACAGACCAATGTTTCCTAAAACTCATGGCAGAATTGTATTTTCAAACGGAGAGAAGGAGGGTGAGAGAATTCTAGAAGGGAGAAGAGAGTTATGATTTTGATATTGAACAGTTTGCTCGTTGCAAAGTATCTGGACCGTGGACATGTAATTTGGCTACATTTTTAAACACGAGACCTCTGGGAGCTTGTTAGGGTTAAGTAAGGCCATTCCGGGAAAGTTGGCTTCATGACAGCGAGGTTGGAGGGCTGCTAACTGCACTGCTAAAATAGATGCCGTACAAATTAATGTTGTCTTACTGTTATAAGGCCTTAACAGTTCTCTATTAGGCCTCCTCCAGCACCACATTTACATGTGGACATGCTCGAATATGCTTGTGTGTGTGTACGGATGCACATCCAGACCTTAAACTAAAACATATCTGAAAAAGCAGTGTCCCTGGAATACAGACAGCATTTCTCTGTTTTCGCTGGAAATGAGAACTGTCTCTTTTTTCATACTTAAGAGGAATGATTTGTGGCTGTCATTACTTATAGGGTTTTTTTGTTTCTGTTTTTTGGTTTTTCGAGACAGAGTTTCTCTGTGGTTTTTGGAGCCTGTCCTGGAACTAGCTCTTATAGACCAGCCTGGTCTCGAACTCACAGAGATCCGCCTGCCTCTGCCTCCCAAGTGCTGGGATTAAAGGTGTGCGCCACCACTGCCTGGCTTTTATAGGGTTTTCTAATCATAGAAGTATTTTAGATAGTGAAAAAATGACCATAGTATAGTTTGAGCACTTAAAATCTTACTTTTGGCTGGGCAGCGGTGGCACACATCTTTAATCCCATCTCTTGGGAAACAGAGGCAGGCAGATCTCAGTGTGTTTGGGGCCAGCCTGGTCTACAGAGTTCCAGCATAGCCAGGGCTACAACAGTGAAACCCTATCTTTAAAAAAAAACAAAAACCAACCAACCAACTAACCAGCCCAACAACCAACCAGCCAACCCAACAACCAACCAGCCAACCCAACAACCAACCAGTCAACCCACCAGCCAACCAACCAAACAAACAAACAAAACCCCTACTTTTGTGGAAGATGCTTACTAAGTTGCATGCATAGCCCAATTAATTACGCTTTATTTCCTCAAATCGTCTCATCTCTCTTTAAATGTCCGTCCCTTCCATGTTTACCTAGACAAGCTTATTTCTCTTCCGGTGCAGCCCTCCCCCATTCACTCTACTGGGAACTCAGCCCAGATCTTCATGTGCATCTCATACATGCTTAATAGACTAGCACTCTACTGAGATGAACCCCAAGTACCCCTCCCCCCCAATATGCACTCTTTCTCTCTCATTCTAGAGACAGAAACACCATGGAGCCAAGGTGGGTTTTGAACTCCTCCTACCTCACCTCTCCCTCACTACTACAATGATAGACATGTGTCCTTGTCCCTGGCCTCTGATCCCTCCTTGGTTCTTTTTAGGTCACGTTTTCATTGTGTGTGTTATGAGTGGAATTGTGTGTGTCCTCTCCAAACAGTTTCTTGAAATCCTCATGTCCAGTAGTTCAGGCGGTGAATTTGTAAACGAGGTCCTCGGGGTGGAGATCTGGATTTGATTATCACATTGGGCCAGAGTCCAGTATGACTGGTATCCTATGGAAAATGAAAATGTGTGGACACAGCCAAGCAAAGACGGATGAAGACGTGGAGAGACAGAAAGAGCTCTGTGTGAAGCGGGAGGACGGGAGTGACGCCTCTCAAGCCAGGCAGGGCTGGCCACTCTGAGCAAACACTGGGCTCCAGAGAAAGGCAGCGATACTCGTTCAGATCCCTGTGCTTGGCCAACTCCCTTGGTAATTCAAGCCCTCAACACTGCAAAACAAGACATTTTGGTTATTTTAAGTCCCTCAATTGTGGCACTTCACTTTGGTGTTTTGGGACCTATCACCTGATATGAATACATTAGGTTTAGCTTGTTTACTGATTCTATTTCTGTCTGCCATTATAGACTCTAAGCTTTATAAGGGGAGGGGCATGAAAATCTTTGTTCACTGCCCCTCCCTCAGTACTCAGAGCCCTGTAATGGCACTCAGTGAATAGTTGTCAAAAGACTGCAGAGGTAAATATTTTAGTATTCCATTTAAAAAATAATTTGTTCCCTTTTGAAACAAAAATAACAGTCTAGTTATCACTGTAATGGGAACACAATTTCAGTAACATAAGAATGTATTTTTGCCTTATAATTATTTTTTACCTTACAATCTATTACGGTTCCTTGAAAAATATTTCATAATTGGAACTCCTTGGTCAGAAGAGTCTTATGTGTCTCTGACCACACCGTGAAGGCATTGCTGCCGGGGCCAGACCCACGTGGTCTAGAGGCTCTGCTGAGTGCTGAGAGCCAAGTCACTTTTTGTATGCAGGGTGTATTGTATGTATTTGTGGGTGTGATTGTGTGTCTGTGGGTGTTTATGTGTGGTCTATGTATAGTGTGTATGTGGTAGATATATTGTATGTGTATATGTGTGGTGTGGTCTGTGTACAGCGTGTGTATGTGTATG